ACGGTGCTGTCACTTGTAAAGGGATTGCCTGATAAACATTCAGGTTGTCACAAGGTATGTGCTTTTATTTTGATGTTAAATTAGCTTTTATTTTTAACTTTGCAAATCTCAAGAGCTTCAATTTTCTTCTTAATGGTACGAGCACTGCATGAAGGGTTTATCCTCCAGATGACTGCACGAGTAAAAATGTTGGGAGACGAGTCAGTGTTGAGAATGACAAGGTCTCAACGGTGTTTGTTGTACTGTAGATAGATTAGAAGTTAGAAGGAGTGTGTTAGAAGGCGGGATGTTGTGTTTACGGCGTCAGGTGAGTCTTGGTGCTAGGGCCAGACAGTTAGCTGTGGTTTGCGCCACGTGTAAATGGTTGCAACTCGTTTACTCTTACAAATTACGTCGCTTTTCGTTTGTATTCGCTACTGTCAAATATCGACGTAATTCAAAGTGGAAATTTATTTTCCAAGTGAATTTTGGATTTTGTGTTTTTTTCCAAAACAGCACGTTAAGGGTCCTCTGGTAGGTTAGGAGGGCAGGAAGTTATCTTAAGGTTTCAAAACATCATGAAAATCGTCAATTGAAAGTTTCCTCTCCTAACCTAACAGCTTAAGCCAGAGGACCCAAAACAAAAAACATAAGAACAAAGGCAACTGCAGAAGGCCTATTGGCCCATACGAGGCAGCTCCTATTTATAACCACCCAATCCCACTCATATACTTGTCCAACCCGGGCTTGAAACAATCGAGGGACCCCACCTCCAGCACGTTACGCGGTAATTGGTTCCACAAATCAACAACCCTGTTACTGAACCAGTATTTACCCAAGTCTTTCCTAAATCTAAACTTATCCAATTTATACCCATTGTTTCGTGTTCTGTCTTCTGTTGATACTTTTAATACCCTACTGATATCCCCTTTGTTATGTCCATTCACCCACTTGTAAACCTCTATCATGTCACCCCTAACTCTTCGCCTTTCCAGTGAATGCAACTTAAGCTTTCTTCATATGAAAGATTTCTAATTTGGGGAATTAACTTAGTCATCCTACGCTGGACACGTTCAAGTGAATTTATATCCATTATATAATATGGCGACCAAAACTGAACTGCAAAATCTAAATGGAGCCTAACTAGAGCAAGATATAGCTTGAGAACTACACCAGGTGTCTTGTTACTAACGCTGCGATTAATAAATCCAAGTGTCCGATTTGCCTTATTACGAACATTTATGCATTGATCCCTTTGTTTTAAATTCTTAATCATAACACCCAGATCCCTTTCGCAATCCGACTTCGCAATCACAACACCATCTAGCTCGTATCTTGTAACTCTATCATCATTACCTAACCTCAGAACTTTACATTTATCAGCATTAAACTGCATCTGCCAATCCTTTGACCATTTCAAAACCCTATCTAGATCAACTTGAAGTGATAGTGAGTCCTCCGAATTAATTTCCCTACCGATTTTCGTATCATCGGCAAATTTGCAAATGTTGCTACTCAAACCTGAATCTAAATCATTTATATATATTATAAACAGAGGTCCCAGGACAGAGCCTTGAGGCACTCCACTTAAAACATTTTCCCACTCTGACTTAACCCCATTTATACTAACTCTGTTTCCTTTGGAATAGCCATGCCCTAATCCAAGTTAATATAGCACCCCCAATACCATGAGCTTCTATTTTTTTTAATTAGTCTTTCATGTGGCACTATCAAAAGCTTTGCTAAAGTCAAGGTACACATCACAATCCTTCACAAAACATCACAAAAACGAGACGGTACGTCACTTTCGTGAGCCGATTTCAGTTTGAATTACGTTGATTTTTAGCCTGAGTGAGTGCCCAACTGCCCATATGAGTGAAAAGCGACGTAATTTGTAAGAGGACGGGTTGGACTAGTACTTTGAATACTTGATGGTTTTTCATGTACAGGGAGATTGCCTCCTCCTAATATATGCTCGATGGTAAAAGATATTTTAAGTGCGATAAATCCTTGTTTGAAGTTTACTCTGGCCCTATGATGTAGAACTACGTACATCCAGTGAAGGATGTATGTAGTGTTATTGTTTCTGGCACATGCCAGTACAGTAGATGCAAAATTCGTTGATGTCTGTTCTGTATTAAGAGCTGTGTGCTGCCAATTTGGCGTGTCTGGTCATCGTTACATCAATTTCTGTGCTTTTATAACTGACATGTTTCCCATTTCTTTTTTTATGGACCCATAGTACAGATAAGAGCATGACGTTTTCCATTTCGTAACAAAATCTTGGGTGATTGTATCTTTAAAAGGCTCCTGAACGTGAAAAATGAATTGTATGACGAGTAATGTAAGGTGTGTTGTACATCGCTTTGTCCAGCTGGTCTACAAGTTCATTATGGGGTATAACCACAACGCTCTGGGACCCATTGGATAGAGATGTCCTAACCTATCAATCGATGTTCATGGAGAGGTTTAAGGCATGGGTGGACAAATTCTTTGCCTGTTGGACGTTTTGTTCTCGTACGTGTTGGAGAAGTGTTGTGCATTATGATGGTCTCTCTCTCTCTGTCTCTGTCTGTCTGTCTCTCTGTCTGTCTGTCTGTGTCTGTGTCTGTCTGTCTGTCTGTGTCTGTCTGTCTCTCTGTCTCTCTCTCTCTGTCTCTCTCTCTCTCTCTCTCTCTCTCTCTCTCTCTCTCTCTCTCTCTCTCTCTCTCTCTCTCTCTCTCTCTGTGTCTGTGTCTCTGTCTGTCTGTGTCTCTGTCTCTCTCTGTCTCTCTCTATATCTCTGTCTCTGTGTGTGTGTGTGTGCGCGCGTGCGTGCGTGCGTGCACTCGGACCTATCCTGTTTCTGATATACGTAAATGGTCTCCCGGAGGGTATATACTCATTCCTCTCAATGTTTGCTGACGACGCCAAAATTATGAGAAGGATTAAGACAGAGGAGGACAGCTTGAGGCTTCAAGAAGACCTGGACAAGCTGCAGGAATGGTCGAACAAATGGTTGTTAGTTTAACTCAGGCAAATGTAATGTAATGAAGATAGGTGTAGGGAGCAGGAGACCAGATACAAGGGAAGGTATCATTTGGGAGATGAAATCCTGCAAGTCAGAGAGAGAGAAAGACCTGGGGGGTTAACATCACGCCAGACCTGTCCCCTGAAGCTATATCAGGAGGATAACATCAGCGGCATATGCCAGGTTGGGTAACATAAGAATGGCCTTTAGATACTTGTGTAGGAATCTTTCAGAACATTATATACCACATGTCAGACCAATCCTGGAGTATACTGCTCCAGCGTGGAGTCCATATCTAGTCAAGCATAAGACTAAACTGGAAAAGGTTCAAAGGTTTGCCACCAGACTAGTAGCAGAACTGAGGGGTATGAGCTACGAGGAGAGACTACGGGAATTAAACCTTACGTCACTGGGAGACAGAAGAGTTAGAGGGGACATGGTCACCACATACAAGATTCTGAGGAACTGATAGGGTAGATAAAGACAGACTATTTAACACAAGGGACACACATACTAGGGGACACAGGTGGAAATTGAGCGCCCAAATGCGCCAGAGACGTTAGAAAGAATTTTTCCAGTGTCAGAGTAGTAGACAAATGGAATGCATTAGGAAGTGATGTGGTGGAAGCTGACTCCATACACAGCTTCACGTGTAGAGATGATAGAGCCCAATAGGCTCAGGAACTTGTACACCTGTTGATTGATGGTTGAGAGGTGGGACCAAAGAGCCAGAGCTCAACCCCCACAAGCACAATTAGGTAAGTACACCCCCCCCCCCCCCACACCCAATTCCCAGTCAACTACACCACAGGAGGGCATGCCCTCTCCACAAGCAATCCCTGCCCCCTCACCCCCAGGACTTCTTCCTGACCCAAGCAGGCCTGAGCAAGACCTAAGCCCTCCATCTCCCACTCCACCTACCCCTGAACCCCTGGCAACTACCTCACAGGAGGATGAGCCTACCCAAGTAGCAATGACCATGGAACAACTTCCTACACTTGTGGGGAGTGAGGGTGAAATTGAATATCAGAAAGCTTCAAGGTAATGTACTCAAACATTGATGGGATTACCAATAAAGCAAGTGAATTGGCAGAAAGGGCGCAAGAAGAAAACCCTGATGTAATAGGACTAACGGAAACAAATTTGTCAGGAGTCATAACAGATGCTGTTTCCAAAGGACAACTATATAGTAAGGAAAGAGAGGGAAGGGAGAGGAGGTGGAGGAGTGGCCCTGCTGGATAGTGGATATTTGGCTCCTAATCACCTTTTCTAAAATTTTATTCATGTGTAATTATAGTGCAACCAGTTTATATATTTTTTTTTGTTACAAAGATTGACTACCTTGATGAGTGTACCTTGAGTGGGTAATTGGAGTTTTACTACTAAAATCTGGCCAGTGGCCAGGCTTGATTTGTGATAACTTGAGCCAACAGGCTGTTGCTTGGAGCAGCCTGCAGGCTCAATGTCCACTATAATCCAATTGGAGTAGAGCTATGTCAGACTTAAATCTTTTTGGTATCTTTCCAGTATCCAAGCCTTTTTATTATTACATTAAACACTTGTGTTATCAATATTTTCCATTTCATTATAAATGTGGAATTCATGAAGCTTAGTGGGCGTAGAAGGCCACACTCGACTGTCTGGGAACCATGGGTAGGGTTTGTAGGGTCCCGGTAGTAATGTCGGGTTTGTTTTCGAACCTGACTGTATTTCCTAGGAACAGTAAACAGGTACTAGGATTTAGCTTGCATCCTGGTAAGGATCAGCAACTTGACCCTGGGGAAAGGGCCTCAATATAAGCCTTACAAGTACAGTATGTATAAACTGGCTGCCTGTCCCCCAGACACACTGAATTATAAGCCTCCCTTACCACATAATGTGTGTGTGTTAAGGGGGTAAAAAAAAAAAAATATATATGCTAATACAAGACATTAGACTGATAACATTTATGAAATGTTATGTTGATTGCAAAATTCATGAAAAAGTTATAATATTGGAATAATACACCGAATCTGTTGTTTGTTTATTAGATGTTTGTAAATCAAATAAAATTTACATTTTGGCAAGTCCCTATCAAAGACTAAGGCTAAAATGTTACACAAGATTGCCAGCCATTTTAAATTTTTTTTAAATTGTTCAATTTATCATTAAATGTATTTTAAATTTAAATGCAAAACTATATAATCTGCTTTAGAATGGCTAATGGTAGTTTATTGCCCTACAGGGATGGAAAAAATCCACAAAAACTGAGAACCAATCACATTTTCTTCTAACATGAATCACAGATTCATACATAATATAAATTCATGGAAAAATATATATACAGGCATATAACTACTTGACATACAGGTCATAAATAGTTACATAGTAAAATTCTCATGTAAATCTTAGCACAACAATTCAAAGTGCTTGTATCAAGTACCTGGATTAGTTTTATACAGCACAAAACAATGTATACAGAAGTTTAGTGAATTAAAATATTATACTCTTTGAATGCTGGCATTTATACAGTATCAGTATTTGAACCAAGCAAGATAAAATAAATATTTTCAAATGCATTGAAATACTGTACAACACTTTATTCACTTTTGCTTCCATTAGATATAACGCATTCCATTCTTAAATTACTGTTTTATACAATGCGACTAGTCAACACAGTATGATTCATGAAACGTATGAATAGCAAGATTATACAACACTCACGCATATTATATATAGATACAGATATGTCAAATTCAGCCCAGGAATATTAAGGTTATAAATATCACAAATACCTGTATATGGATAGTTCTATAGGGAAGAAAATTATTGTAATTTTTAAATTACAAGAAGTATAAAGCTTCAACAGACCAACATTGTGCTCCTCACTCATTTGAGGAAATAGCATTTAAATGCAGGGTTCTAGCATACAATAATATTTCACTGGGATTTAAAGATTCAGTCCTCAAAGTACACACAAATTACTCAAATCTGCAAGACGTGTACACCTGCCACATCAAACATCACAGCTTTGCAGGTTAGTAATGAAGAGGAAGTCTACATATCACATAAAGAAGTCTATACTTGTTCACAAATAACACTAGATGATACGTGATAATGATAAAGCATACTGTTCACACTGCAGCTGCACCGGACAGCTCCTACTACCTGTAGTGGTGTGTCAAGTGAGCCAAAGGTGTGACAGTCAAAGGTGATGTCAGATATTAAGGGGTGGTTGTGTTAATGATTCACTAAGGTCCATATCCTGATAGCTTTTAAGGTCATTTGCTGGCACATCTTCAGTAATCATAGCATCACTGCTGCTACCATCACTAGTGTCTGCTCCTTTAACTTGACCATCAAATCGGTCTCCATGTTCCTGATCTCCAAATCGATCTCTATGTTCTTGATTACCAATTTGATTGCTATGTTCCTGTCCCCCAAAATGATCATTATGTTCTTGTTCTACATAATGCTCCCTAGATTCCCTTCTTGCAAACTGTTCACTGTGATCTCGACTAAAGCGGTCATTGTGATCTTGACCACCAAATCGATTACGATGCTCTTGAGTTCCAAAATGGTCTCCATGTTCCTGGTTCCCAAATGAAGCTGTCTGATCACTGTTTAGTGCAGGAGAAACTGGTTTAAATAAATGTGGTGGAGGATCAGGAGTAGGAGCAGGAGTTTCTGCCAGGGAAGCAGGAGAATAAGGAGGAGCAGACAGACCTGGTGAACCAGATGAACACACTGACTCGGGAGTACCCACACTACCTAAAGACCCTGGACCTGCAGGGCTTGGTGTACTTTCCAAACTGCAAAAGAATATTAAAATAAAAACAAAAATAAACAATTAATCTATTTCACGTACTTTTAAGTTCAGGAAAATAGTGATCTAAAATTGAAAATTTTTAGTACACACAAATTACTGTATAAATTCAGTTATAATACTGAAAAACCTATTGCTGGGAATCTACAAGCAGGGCAAGTGCATCTATTGGTAGAGTTCAATCTATTTAAAACTCCTGCTTTATTCCAATCACTCTGGAGAGCTTAATGCATGGCTCCAATCACAACAAGACATATCACCCTTCTTGAGGTTATCTTGAGATGATTTCGGGGCTTAGTGTCCCCGCGGACCAGGCATCCACCCCCAGGAAGCAGCAGCCAGTGACAGCTGACTAACTCCCAGGTGCCTATTTACTGCTAGGTAACAGGGTCATCAGGGTGAAAGAAACTCTTCCCATTGTTTTTCGCTGGCGCCTGGGATCGAACCCGGGCACCAGCACATATGCATATATATATGCATATATATATATATATATATATATATATATATATATATATATATATATATATATATATATATATATATATATATATATATAAATATATATATATATATATAAATATATATATATATATAAATATATATATATAAATATATAAATGTGTGTATATCACGAAAATAAACACGTGATTATTATTTGTTCATAAATATATAAATATATAAATTAAATATTTTAGGGGTACCACCTCTGGTGCAATTGCAGGGACCCACATCCTCGAAGAAGAAAACAAGGAGCATTCAGAGAAGATCTTGTGGAATCTCACTGAATACTTTATTCTTTTCTTCTCCTACCACCCCTATTATTTTTTTGTATGTTTTGTTTTATTTTATTGCAATGCTACAGTTTACAGAACACACACACACACACACACACACACACACACACACACATATATATATATATATATATATATATATATATATATATATATATATATATATATATATATATATATATATATATATATATATATATATATATATATATATATATATATATATATAAAAACGAAAAAGACCGAAAAAGTAAGATTAATACAGTAATTCTAACACGAATTTTCTCGATCTTTCTTACGTTTCTTTTCACTGTTGATGGTAATTCAAAGATCAATTCTCCAAAATTCATTTTTATTTCTAGTCTGACGTGACACTTGAGCGCGTTTCGTAAAACTTATTACATTTTCAAAGACTAGTTTACACAAACACACACAACTTTAACTGATTAGAGCTTAAACATCTTTCGAGTTTTTATACCTACATTTGGGTGAAGTGACATGTTACAATAGTTTTGGATGAGGTGAAAATAAACTTTTAACACAAGACAGAACACGAAACAATGAAATACAAACAGGTATTAAAAGTAGGTAACTGCAGAAGGCCTATTTTTATTGGCCCATATTTCTTGATGCTTCTATATTGGAGCGGAGTCTTGAAGTGGGTAGAATATAGTTGTGCATTAATTGGCTGTTGATTGCTGGTGTTGACTTTTTGATGTGTAGTGCCTCGCAGACGTCGAGCCGCCTGCTATCGCTGTATCTATCGATGATTTCTGTGTTTGCTAAGAATTCTCTGGTGATGGTTTGGTTGTGGGAAGAGGCTATATGTTCCTTAATGGAGCCCTGTTGCTTATGCATCGTTAAACTCCTGGAAAGAGATGTTGTTGTCTTGCCTATATACTGAGTTTTTTGAGGCTTACAATCCACAAGAGAGCACAATCCACAAGAGAGCATTTGAAGGCATAGACGACGTTGGTCTCTTTTAAAACGTTCTGCTTTGTGTCTGGAGAGTTTCTCATGAGTAGGCTGGCTGTTTTTTTGGTTTTATAGTAAATTGTCAGTTGTATCTTCTGATTTTTGTCTGTAGGGATAACGTTTCTACTGACAATATCTTTCAGGACCCTTTCCTCCGTTTTGTGGGCTGTGGAAAAGAAGTTCCTGTAAAATAGTCTAATAGGGGTATAGGTGTTGTGTTAGTTGTCTCTTCAGAGGTTGCATGGCGTTTCACTTTCCTTATGATGTCTTCCACGAAACCATTGGAGAAGCCGTTGTTGACTAGGGCCTGCCTTACCCTACAGAGTTCTTCGTCGACTTGCTTCCATTCTGAGCTGTGGCTGAGGGCACGGTCGACATAAGCGTTAACAACACTCCTCTTGTACCTGTCCAGGCAGTCACTGTTGGCATTCAGGCACATTCCTATGTTTGTTTCCTTGGTGTGGAAAACTCCGCTCCTTTCCATGACTGTTACATCTAGAAAGGGCAGCTTCCCATCCTTCTCCATCTCGTAAGTGAAACGCAACACAGAATTCTCCTCAAATGCCTCCTTCAGCTCCTGCAGATGTCTGACATCAGGTACCTGTGTAAAAATGTCGTCAACATACCTGCAGTATATGGCCGGTTTCAAGTTCATGTCGACTAAGACTTTTTGCTCGATGGTACCCATGTAGAAGTTTGCAAACAGGACACCTAGGGGAGAACCCATAGCGACCCCATCTACTTGCTTATACATGTGTCCATCCGGGCTCAAGAAGGGTGCCTCTTTAGTACAAGCTTGGAGTACTTTCCTTAGACTGCTTTCTGGTATGTCAAGAGGAGTACAGGCCGGATCACGGTACACTCTGTCGGCTATCATCCCGTGTGTACCGTGATCCGGCCTGTACTCCTCTTGACATACCAGAAAACAGTCTAAGGAAACTACTCCAAGCTTGTACTAAAGAGGCACCCTTCTTGAGCCTAGATGGGCACACGTATAAGCAAGTAAATGGGGTCGCCATGGGTTCTCCCCTAGGTATCCTGTTTGCGAACTTCTACATGGGTACCATCGAACAGGTCTTAGTTGACATGAATTTGAAACCTGCCATATACTGCAGGTATGTTGACGACATTTTTACACAGGTACCTGATGTCAGACATCTGCAGGAGCTGAAGGAGGCATTCGAGCGGAATTCTGTGTTGCGTTTCACTTACGAAATGGAGAAGGATGGGAAGCTGCCCTTTCTAGATGTAAGTCATGGAAAGGAGCGGAGGTTTCCACACTGCAGTCTACACTAAGGAAACAAACATAGGAATGTGCCTAAATGCCAACAGTGACTGCCCAGACAGGTACAAGAGGAGTGTCTTTAACGCTTATGTCGACCGTGCTCTCAGCCACAGCTCAGGATGGAAGCAAGTCGATGAAGAACTCTGTAGGGTAAGGCAGGTCCTAGTCAACAACGGCTTCTCCAATAGTTTTGTTGAAGACATCATAAAAAGGCAGGTAAACGCTATGCAACCTCTGAAGAGACAACTAACACAACACCTGTACCCCCTATTAGGCTATTTTACAGGAACTTCTTTTCCACAGCTCATAAAATGGAGGAAAGGGTCCTGAAAGATATTGTTAATAGGAACATTATCCCTACAGACAAAAATCAGAAGATACAATTGACGATTTACTATAAAACCAAAAAAAAACAGCCAACCTACTCATGAAAAACTCTCCAGACACAAAGCAGAATGCTTTAAAACAGACCAACGTCGTCTATGCCTTCAAATGCCCACTTGGGGACTGTAAGCCCCAAAGAACTCAGTATATAGGCAAGACAACAACATCTTTTTCCAGCCGATTAACAATGCATAAGCAATAGGGCTCCATTGAGGAACATATAATCTCTTTCCACAACCAGACCATCACCAGAGAAGTCTTAACAGACAACACAGAAATCATCGATAGATACAGCGATAGCAGGTGGCTTGACATCTGCGAGGCACTACACATCAAGAAGTCAACACCAGCAATCAACAGCCAATTAATGCACAACTATATTCTACCCACTTCAAGACTCCGTACCAATATAGAAGCATCAAGAGGAAACATGGGCCAATAGGCCCTTTGCAGTTACTTCCATTCTTCCCTTTCATTTATCCAATTTATAACCATTACACCGTGTTCTGTCTTGTGTTGAAAGTTTTGTTCACCTCGTCCAAAACTGTTGTAACATATCACCTCACCCAAATGCGAGTATATAAGACAAAGCTGTTTAAATGTTAGTATAGTAAAACTCTGTTTAGTGTTAGTTGTGTGTGTGTAAACTAAAGCCTTTGAAAATGTAATAAGTTATTACGAAATGCGTTCCAGTGTCGCGTCAGACTAGAAATAAAAATGAATTTTGGAGAATTGATTGTCAATTACCAACGACAGTAAAAAGAAGTATAAGAAATATTGAGAAAATTCATGTTAGAACTTACTTTTTCGGTCATATTTAACAACATATGTTTGCAAGAGACTGCTACCAAAATATACTAATAAATGTATGTATGTATATGTGTATATATATGTATATCTATATATATATAATATTATTGGTGTATACTGGCAGCAGGTTTTCTTTCAAACATGTTTCATTGAATATGACCGCATATTCTGTATTTATTATTTTCTGGTTTAGGGCTTCTATCCCTCTAACTATTTTCTTAGCATCAGGGCTTAGTTGAAATAGGAGTTCTCCAAAACTCATTTTCGTACTTTTAAGGTGAAGAAAAGAAGTGATTTACTATAGAGTGTATTACACTTATTTATACAATTTGCACAACGTTCGAACCTCCATGGTTCATTCTCAAGTGAACAGATCTTACAATGCTGGTTGATTTTATACCCGCACTGGGTCAGGTGATAATACAATGAAGGTGAAAACATGTGGGGATACATAAGGGATAAATGTGAGGTGAAACATAGAGGTAACTGCAGAATGTTTCACCTTTCTATGTTTCACCTCACATTTATCCCTTATGTATCCCCCCATGTTTTCACCTTCATTGTATTATCACCTGACCCAGTGCGGGTATAAAATCAACCAGCATTGTAAGATCTGTTCACTTGAGAATGAACCATGGAGGTTCGAAACGTTGTGCAAATTGTATAAATAAGTGTAATACACTCTATAGTAAATCACTTCTTTTCTTCACCTTAAAAGTACGAAAATGAGTTTTGGAGAACTCCTATTTCAACTAAGCCCTGATGCTAAGAAAATAGTTAGAGGGATAGAAGCCCTAAACCAGAAAATAATAAATACAGAATATGTGGTCATATTCAATATATATATATATATATATATATATATATATATATATATATATATATATATATATATATATATATATATATATATATATATATATATATATATATATATATATATATATAAATAATGTGAGAAAGCTGCATGAACGCACAAGCCATATATCACTAAGAACTCTTTGACCCGGCCAGGATTCGAAACCATGCCGTCCAGTATCGCCCCTAAACGTACACAGTACCGTGACCACCGCACCAATGATCGTCTACCCTCAATCGCCTATGTATGATGTGCGTTCATCGTGACAGTTATTCCCATTGCCTATGTAAGTATTGCACAGCAAAAGGGTTAAAGATATGATATACAGCTCGTTAACCTGTCCTCATACATTGGCCAAATACAGAACTCGTTATTACAGCTAAGACCCGCCTTCCCCCTCCTCCTGACACACACACACACACTTCTGCTAATGACAAGCATAGCTTGAGGATGGGTTAGGCTCACAGGTTTCCAAGAATCAGTCATAAGTAGAAAAATTAAATGTGACTTTGCAGTAGAAGGCTAATTGTGACTTTGCAGTAGAAGGCTAATAAGATACTTATAGTTCACTTGACCTTACATATAATCTTTTAAGATAAACCGCTTCTGAGCAGCATCAGATAAAAATTTTATAGTTAGAATATTAATAGACAATTTAAATTCAAGATTAAAGTGTATCTCTCACTTGCATCTTTACTAAGAGTAAAGACGCTTACTTTCATTGAGTTATTTATATTACACCACCCAATATTTGTAACTAATAAATTATTTTAATATCTATACACAAAGTATATATCAATTTACCTGTGGGGTTGTGTTATAAGGAGGCCACCAATACAACGGTCTGGAGTACAAGTGGAGGCACGCTTGCTAGGGGTCAAAAAAGGTTCACACCGTTCATCCATTTCCCACTTGCGTTTGAGACCAAGAGGTGAAGGACGCAAGGCAATAGGACTCAAACTTCTCCTTGTGGCAAAAGTCTTCTTGGTAGGGGAAGGAGAGGGGCAAAATGAGGTGTTGCGTACATGTTGCTGAAGAGATGGAGAGAAACACTGACGTCCAACTCCTCTAGTGGGGGAAGCACCACAACCAGTGAGAGGAACAACAGTTGGTACAATTGTTAAATGCAGTGGATCGGTAAAGTCTCGCCGCACAGATGATACAGTTCCTGACACTGTTCCAGGAGTATTTGCAACAACACTAGCAGAAACAATGGGTGCAGATATGCTTGTAGGAACACTTTCACTTCTAGCACCTTGGGCCTTTAGGCGCCCAACATCCTCAGTCTGTAGGGAAAAAGAAAAAAGTAATTACAGTAAAATTGTTTCAGAAATGTAATTAAATAATTTTTGTATTTTGATGAGAATAGTAAAAACAAAATAAAAGTAATTTAAACCTTTTGATATTATTTTCCAATAAATTGCGCAAAATAGACTGTCAGAAGTTATTATCCATGAAAAACAAACACAGCAGCACACAGCTGCAGGCATTGCTGTATTACATACAGAAATAATTCAATCCAGCAAACACTGAATGGATGTGGAAAATTTGCTTGAAACCACAGTAAAGTGGTACTGTAACAGATGACAAGAAAGTTATTACTATGCCTTAATATAAAAATACTGCATAGGCAAGTGCTGTACGAAGCACACACCAGTCTACTAAGTGGCAGAGGAATGATTAGTAAAGTACAGAAGACAATTTTTTTTCATCAAGATGGGTTTCATAGTACACAAGTTTGTATGGATCAGATACCTGCATTGAGACAGCTTAGAGGTATGATAAAAGATTGTATATATGGCATTTATGGATGGGGAGAGAGCATATAATCAAGTGGATAAAAGGTCCACAGAGTACTGAGAATATATGGAGTGGACTATTATTGAAAGCTGTGATGAGCTTTTATGCAGGAAGTACAACCTATCAGAGTTCTTAGTGTAATGAGGGACTGGTGTGTGCTAGAAATGTTAGGGTACACCAAGGCTGTCTGGTGTTTCCAAAGTTGTTGTACAGTATATATAATATACAAGGATGGGGTCATGAGGGAGGTCAAAGAAAGAATGCTAGACAATTTGGCAAAATTTGTATAAAACAGGAAAAAGAGGGCATAGAGTGTAATGAATCACCACACTAGGTGGCATCTTAGTAGCTCCAAGATTACTGTACTGACACACTAATAAAGCTCATTTTGAATTCATCAAGCATTTATATCTAGTCCCCACCAAAACCAAGGACTAGAATCTAGCCTGTTTTATGGGACAAGGGAGTACAAGGGAATCTGAGATAAACACCACCACAACCCCTGCTGGAGCTTTGGTTATTTTGGTGCCTTCACCAGCAGTGGCAGATGGGAGGCAAGATGTACTGGACTTACAATCATGAGCTTACCTTTGTTGGAAAACCCACCTTCCAATTACCCTAATTTTGAACTGCATGCCATTGTGATCTAACTTCTTTTTTTTTAACCTGAACATGTCTTTACCATATGCAAACTATTTTGCTAAATTTCTTCCACTTTCTGGAAGATGCTGTCTCCATGTTCAGTGGAACCTCAAATGCAGACCATATTCTAATTACCAATCTGAATTCACAAATAATCTCAAGTTCTGTTTAACTGCCTTTTATAGCTATTTATTTTCACCAAATTTGAATTGTTTATATAATACACATTTTTACATTGTTAAAACCTGCAAATAACACACAATGATTGTTATACAGTACCTAATTATAGTATTTCAATGTGTGATTTTTTCTGTGTTTTTTTGCAGTAATATTATTCAACAGTGTGATGTATTTATATAATGAAATGTGTGAACCAACTGTACAACTAAGCTGGTATGGTGAGTCAAGACAATAATTGAGGTCGCCACACAGTCAGCTGACACTCTCCCCCTCACTCCACAACATTCTTCCTCCCACTATACTGTTTGTGCTGTTTTTACACTATATACACACACATTATATATATAAGTATCTACATGTTTTATTCACCATAACTGTACAACTAAGCTGGTATGGTGTCCAAACAATGTAATGGCTACAAAAAACTGCTTGACAAGTGACACAGCAGTTACCAGATGATGCCACCACCCTCACCAAATTGGCTCCTCCCAACATACTCTTTTTGCTGTTATTACACACGTTACATATAAGTATCTACAAATGTTTTACATAAGTTATATATATATGTATTTGTGTTCACCATAACAAACCACTAAGCTTGTATGGTGAGTCCAGACAATAACAGGTGGCCACACAAAGTCAGCAGCAGAGACGCTGCCTCCCTCATTCCCACCGCATTACTCCTCCCACCATACTACGCACAGCGCTAATTATCATCAAAATCCTGCTATTACCAGAATCCTGGTAATTTTTATCACAGGGGGTCTTCTGTAGTACTACCATCACTAAATAATAGCAGTTACATATATATTTTGACATTTTTGGGCAATGCTGTGGTCACAAGCTGAGCAGCAGTGCTGTTAACTCATGCTGCATGCTTCAGCCTTGGTTGCTCACTCAGTACTGAGGCTCGCACACCTGAGAATGTTGCCCACGATTTTTTTTTTAAATGATGGCATTACTAGAGCCCTGAGGAAACTGATGTGAACCTTGTGTAGTTGTGGAACATTTAAATCATGCACGGGACCCTCAGTCGCCTATGTATAATGTGCACCATTCCAGGACAGTTACTCCTATCGCCTATATATGTATTGTACAGCATAAGGGTTAATCTGTATAAATAGAATGTGGTCAAATAATACTGTATACAAAATAATACATACATTATAAATTAACACACTATGCTGCTGCATTAGATAAGTAACTTCATTAACCACTTAACTGCGCCAACTAAGTATTCTTGGTCGGCGGGAAACTGCGCCAACCAAGAAAACTTTTTTATTTTTCCGTACTCATTCTAAATGTGTGTGAGGTTGGTTGTGTGCGAAATCGACTCTTTGGACCTCCAGTGAGAGGCAGTCATCTTGGAAAAAATTCCCAGAATGCCCTAGGGCTGCTGGCTGGGTTAGTACTGAGTGAGCAACCGTGGGTGGCGCACGCGCCTCTGGCTCCCAAACACCTGTCTGACGCGGTGTTGAAAGATAACGCTCTGCGGGTGAAATTCAAACCTTATTGTTTGAAGAACATAAGGGTCATAATATTGGTGAAGCTAGGCGTAATAAGGACCTAACACAAAGGTCGGATGCAAGTGATACAGCACCTATGAGGACAATACAGCGAACGTATCCAGATGTAGCTCTGAGTCACTCTTGCAATCCTATGCTATCTCCAATCTTTTTAGATGATACATAGATGAATCATTTTCTGCGTTCAGTGATGATGCATCTAATACAAGTAGCGTAGATGAACAGTGTTAGCGGCTTCCATAGTGGTGTTTTCCATAGATATTTTCAAGAATACCTGAATCTCTTCCTAACTGTACAAGAATCCTGAATCTCTTCCTAACTGTACAAGAATGTAACAACTCTTGTATATATCTCAAAAAAAAAAAAAAAAAAAAAAAAAAAAACTGACGGACACTCTGAGGCTAGCTGAATCTCTTCCTGTGTGGAACCATACAAAGCGATCTTTTCAAGACTACCTTACAAATTGATCTTTTCCTATAATCTTTTCAATACTACCTTATGGTTTACAAGCTTGGCTACATACAACCTACAAGTACTAAAGCCAAGGGTGTATGTGAGTGCGTTATTTGCAAGCACACAGAATGAAGAAACGGGAAGTGAAAATTTATCTGTACCTGGTACAATGAGAGCTAAGTCGCGCTGTGCACCATGGACTACTTCGTTGATTATTACTCGCTTCCAAAGTACTGAGTGTGTAATACAGTGTGTTACTGTGTGAATAGTATGTGAAACTGTACATATTGTAATTTTTTTGAATTTGTAACAAGTAATATTGCAACAATAAACATTTATTGTGGACACATTACTGACACATGTATCACAGTTCCATGGAACATTATGAAGATTCTACTGTATACATATTGTAAAGGACACAAATATGCATCATATACGATAAAAAAACAAATAAAACTGCATTGAAAATACATAGAACAAATAATTGAAAATATGAACAAATCCACAAAGGCCGTAACGAGGATTCGAACCTGCGTCCGAGAGCATCCCAGACGCTGCCTTAATCGACTGAGCTACAACATGGTCATGAACGGCCAATTGAAAATATATTTGTGGCAACACCCGGTGCTTGAATGGCCTGTGTGACCGTGTCTGGGCGAGTCATGCACGGGCAACCAGGCTCTGATGACGTCACAGCGCATCTTGTCCAATTCCCCACAGCCAAAGTACAGTAAGTGGAATTTGGTATTTATTTTTACATAAGACATGTTCAGGGAAGGGAATTTATCATTTTACAAAGAAAAATAATTTGTTGGGAACACTTTATTTCATGCGCACAGGAGGAATTTCACAATAAACTTGGCGCAGCACGGTGGTTAAACTCATTACTGTATACTGTACTTAATTTATATAGCATTTTTTCACTTTCAACCATTGTCACTAGCTCTCTAACTTGGTACTTCTAAGACTTTCTCACTTTTCTCAGTATATTTAGTCATTTCTTAAATGCTAGATACCTCCTCTTCTTTCTTCCTAGTTAAACCGGATTAATAAAAAATTGAGAGAGCAATAGTAATGGACAAGCCAAGAAGCAATAAGCATTATGGTGGGAGAAATCAATAAACAGCATTTTCAGATAGTTTTTGGCATATTGAATGAATGGATGATGGTAGAATGGTGAAGTGTGTACTCAGGTAAACTTTCAAAATAGAAGAGGAAGGCCAAGAGAAAGGTGGGCTGGCATTGAATGTAGACAACACATACTATGTGATAAGGGACAAAGTTAGGATGTTTGCAAGAGGATAAATGTGATTGAATATAATATATATAACAATTCATGAGGAGCACTCTACATCTGATCTTGTGAAGCAGTGGGGGTGCTGCTGTGGATGACTTGAAATGTGAAGTGATTGTTTACTTGTGACACTATATACAGTATTATATTGTGAATTATATAATGAACAGACAGGTGATATTTTATTTTATTATTTAATATAACAAATTTTTAACTATATTACTAGCCATGTTTTCTCTGCTAGTTCCCTCCATACAAGTAGAAATTGGTAATGATAATGTATAAATGTAATATGTTCCTTACCAAGGTTAGATCTTCCCAGGACTGTGAAAGACAATCTGTAATTTGAAGTGTGGATTGAACAGTTCGTTCATGGGCAGCCTCACGGTTTACAACATCCATGCCCTCTTCAACGCGTAGCTGACATACACGTAGTGGACCACTTCCCCGAGAACTTCCTGGTGACTGCAGAGTAAAACCCAATTTACCATTAGAAAGTTTGTCAAACTCTTTTGGCTTAAAACTTTCTGGGCAGTTGGAATACACACATACATATCTTCATATAAGATATCTATACATAAAGGTGTTGTCTGACTGCCTACAGATAGCAATGGCATGCTATGCTTATTTTACCTGAGACTGATGACAGTCTGAGCTAACTGAACATCTTGGCTGAGGACAGTTTGTTTAGTACTTGCTTTCAGATCTCCATTTAGAGGGAGAAGCAGTGTGTATACAAATATAGTACCTATGCATCTGCAGCCCAAGTTGTAACATAGGTCTAAGAGGAGTTTGTTCCAAAAGTGCGTCAAAACTAAGGGACCTTATAAAATTATATGTAAACATTATATATAAATAATATATATTTATACAACATAAACATTGTATATATATATATAATATATATATATATATATATATATATATATATATATATATATATATATATATATATATGTATATGTATATATATATATATATATATATATATATATATATATATATATATATATATATATACATATACATACACACACACACACACGCACACCTGTATAAATTTTGTTGAAAACAACATAGTTTTAGATTTATGATTCTGGCACAAATCTTCTCAATATTCCTTATGTTATTTTTCACTGTCTCATTTAAATATCCCTGGTGATCGTCTCGTTGTCTGGTGATTGTATGTTCCTTGATGGAGCCCTGTTGATTGTGCACTGTTAAACGCTTAGAGAGAGACGTTGTTGTCTTGCCTATAAACTGAGTTCGTCGGAGCTGACAAGCCTCAAGAGAGCATGTGAAGGCTTAAACAACATTGGTCTCTTTCAAGGCGTTTTTCTTGGTGTCGGGAGAATTCTTCACTAGCAGGTTGGCGGTTTTTCTACTCTTATAATATATTGTTAATTTTATCTTTTGGTTAATGTCAGTTGGGGTAATGTACCTCCCAATGATCTCTTTTAAGGCTCTTTCCTCCACTTTGTAGGCTGTATATATATATATATGTATATATATATATATATATGTATATATATATATATATATATATATATATATATATATATATATATATATATATATATAGATATATATATATATATATATATATATATATGTATATATATTATATGTATATATATGCTATATATATATATATAATATATTTATATATATATATATATTGTATATATATATATATATATAAATATATTTATATATATATATGTCGTACCTAGTAGCCAGAACTTTTCTCGGCTATTCAAACGATTTGCCAAAGCCAAGTTTTTCTGAATAAATATTTACTATAATTTTTTTTATGAAATGATAAAGCAACCCTTGGTTATGTATCGGTCATTTATTTTATTGGATTTTAATTAACGTAGATATAAAAAAAAACCAACCCTACCTAACAACCTACATTTATGGTAAGGTTAGCTTAGTATCCAAAAAAAGCAGGTAGAAAAAAAAGGTTAGGTTAGGTTAGGTTGGTTAAAATAAAACATAATTCAGGAAAACTTGGCTTATTAGGCAAATCGCGGCCTTGAATAGTAGGCCAAAAAGTGCGTTCTGGCTACTAGGTACGACATATATATATATATATATATATATATATATATATATATATATATATATATATATATATATATATATATATATATATATATATATATATATATATATATATATATATATATATATATATATATGTATATATATATATATATATATATATATATATATATATATATATATAATATATATATATATATATATATATAGATATATATATATATATATATATATATATATGTATATATATATATGTATGTATATATATATATATGTATATATATATATATATATATATATATGTATATATATATATATGTATGTATATATATATATATATATATATATATATATATATATATATATATATATATATATATATCTATATATATGTATGTATATATATATATGTATGTATATATATATATATATATATATATATATATATATATATATATATATATATATATATATGTATGTATATATATATATATATGTATATATATATATATATATGTATATATATATATATATATATATATATATATATATATATATATATATATATATATATGTATATATATATATATATATATATATATATATATATATATGTATGTATATATATATATATGTATGTATATATATATATATATATATATATATATATATATATATATATATATATATATATATATATATATATATATATATATATATATATATATATATATATGTCGTACCTAGTAGCCAGAACTCACTTCTGAGCCTACTATGCAAGGCCCAATTTGCCTAATAAGCCAAGTTTTCATGAATTAATTGCTTTTCGACTACCTAACCTACCTAACCTAACCTAACCTAACTTTTTCGGCTACCTAACCTAACCTAACCTATAAAGATAGGTTAGGTTAGGTTAGGTAGGGTTGGTTAGGTTCGGTCATATATCTACGTTAATTTTAACTCCAATAAAAAAAAATTGACCTCTTACATAATGAAATGGGTTGCTTTATCATTTCATAAGAAAAAATTTAGAGAAAATATATTAATTCATGAAAACTTGGCTTATTAGGCAAATCGGGCCTTGCATTGTAGGCTGAAAAGTGAGTTCTGGCTACTAGGTACGACATATATATATATATATATATATATATATATATATATATATATATATATATATATATGTATATATATATATATATATATATATATATATATATATGTATATATATATATGTGTATACATATATATATATATATATATATATATATATATATATATATATATATATATGTATATATATATATATATATATATATATATATATATATATATATATATATATATATATATATATATATATATATATATATATAATGTCGTACCTAGTAGCCAGAACGCACTTCTCAGCCTACTATGCAAGGCCCGATTTGCCTATTAAGCCAAGTTTTCATGAAATAATTGTTTTTCGACTACCTAACCTACCTAACCTAACCTAACTTTTTAGGCTACCTAACCTAACCTATAAAGATAGGTTAGGTTAGGTAGGGTTGGTTAGGTTCGGTCATATATCTACGTTAATTTTAACTCCAATAAAAAAAAATTGACCTCAAACATGATGAAATGGGTAGCTTTATCATTTCATAAGAAAAAAATTAGAGAAAATATATTAATTCAGGAAAACTTGGCTTATTAGGCAAATGTACCTCCGTATATAAAAGACCTCTGTATATTATATATATATATATATATATGTGTGTGTATATCACGAAAATAAACACGTGATTAAGAATGTGACAATGTCAGACCACGGAGGAAAAATGAAACAGGAAATTTCCTTAAGTACTTTCGTATATTAAATACATCTTCAGAAGGTCATTTTACAGATCGAGTGATGGGTATAAATAGGCAGGAGAGAGTGGTGAAGTAAGGTGAGGTACAATACTTGGACAACGCAGACGGCCCATTGGCCCATCAGATGCACCCAATTAGCCCATCCGATGTAGCCCAATGGCCCATCTGATACAGCAGACATACAAGCATAATACATAGGTAATTTATAACATAAAGAGGTAAATATATACAATAAATTAGTGAGACAAATGTTTTTCAATGATTCTACTTAAATCGCCCTTTAGCTGATCTATTAGAAATGGATCTAAGTTATATAGACCACTGCTAATATTCAAATTACTTTCTTTGGTGATCTGTATCAAAGCGGATTCAATTATGTTTCTGTTATAGGTGCTTTTACAATTTGTTATTGAAGACGCACTCTCCCAATCAATTTGGTGAGCTTTTTCTGACAAATGCAAATGCTGACAAATTATCTTGCTCGTGAACTAATGAGCCATGACTTACCTCTTTCTGCTGATATTATTGTCAGTCTTGTTAAGTTGTGCATTAAAGAATGTAAATTTACCTTTAATAATGAGTATTATTTACAGACTTTTGGAATGGCAATGGGGAATCCTCTATCGCCATTGCTCTCAAACCTGTACATGGAATTCTTTGAAAAGAAATTTGTTTCAAAAATAACTCCTGGAATCATTCCTTGGTTTAGATATGTTGATGATATCTTGTGTATTTGGCCTTCAGATGTAAACACAGACGAATTTGTAGCCAAACTTAATGACCAAGTCACCTCCATAAAATTTACTATGGAGACTGAAATTGATAAATGTTTGCCATTCTTAGATGTGCTTATTCATAGGGAAAACTCTTCATTAAAGTTTAGTGTTTACAGAAAACCTACGAACAATTTATCTTATGTTCATTATTTTTCAGGGCATAAATACAATGTAAAAAAGTCAATTTTTTCTTCAATGTATCTAAGGGCTCTTCGAGTTGTGAGTCCAGAATTCTTAGATGAAGAATTTAAGAATATTGATTCGATTGGTCTTAAGCTTTGTTACCCACTGAATTTTTTGGAAGTTTGTCGTAACAAAGCTCGTCGTACATATTATAATAATGTATGCAGTGAAAGGACTCGCCCAAAGAATGTGTTATGTTTACCATATTTCTCTGGGTTTGAGAATATTGTCAAGGCCTTGAAACTTTTTAATATAGATGTAATGTTTAGCTACGAAAACACTGTTGGTAAGCTATTAGTAAGGAACAGCCCTCGTAGTGATAATTGCGTCATTTATAAAATACCTTGTAAGGAATGTAATAAGTTCTATGTCGGGCAAACATCTAAAGATTTAAAATGTAGAATATCGCAACATAAATACTCTGTAAGACATGGCCAATTATCTAATGCTTTGTTTGTGCATTTGTCAGAAAAAGCTCACCAAATTGATTGGGAGAGTGCATCTTCAATAACAAATTGTAAAAGCACCTATAACAGAAACATAATTGAATCCGCTTTGATACAGATCACCAAAGAAAGTAATTTGAA